CACAGGGGTGCCAGACAACAGAGCAAGTAGTCATGGTCGCATGTTGAGGCGGGGGAGGTCCAGGTTGGATATCAGGAAAAACTATTTCACTAGGAGGGTGGTGAAACACTGGAATGCGTTACCTAGGGAGGTGGTGGAGTCTCCTTCCTTGGATGTTTTTAAGGCCCAGCTTGACAAACCCCTGGCTGGGATGATTTAGCTGGGAATTGGTCCTGCTTTGAGCAGGGGGTTGGACTAGATGACCTCTTGAGGTCCCTTCCAACTCTGATATTCTATGATTCTATGATTCTATGACTAATGGGTCCTGGGCAAGTCTTGCTGGAGGGAGGGGTCCAGCTGCCCTAGGTCCTCCATGCTAGGGGCATGGGCCTGAGGTGCGGGTAGGGCTGTTGCCTCTGAGCCCCCTGGGGAGCGGGGCAACTGACAGTGGCCTCCGGGACCCGGGGTTCCAAGTGGGCAGAACGAGAAGCTCCCGATGGGACACCTTGGGCCTGACGGTATGCCCAAGGGGTCCAAAAGGACCATTGTGGGGGTCCCTGAACAGGATCCTGCCCCTCGTCGTGCCATTGGCTAGCTCTGTCCGCGTCTTGGTCATGGACGCGGCAGCCACTCTCCACTTGGGATGACCTCGAGTTGGGGCGGGAAGGCCAAGGTGGAGCCGATCGGTCATGCTGGGTTGCACTGTCATGAGTTGTTGGCCCGCGCCGCAGAGATGGAGATCGGCACCGTGGTCTCGAGCGGTACTGCAACCTGGACTGGGACCAATGGTCGTATCGGTGCCAGGAGGCAGATCTGGACCTTGATAAAGATCTACGGGCGGAGCGGCGCCAGGAACGACTCTGAGGAGACCTGCACCGGGATCGGTGCCGGGAGCTGGACTGGTACCAACCGTACCGGGAAGGAGATCTTCTCAAGGCGGAGCAGCGCCGCGAGTACGACCGGCGCCGAGATGGTGATCAGTGCCGGGACTGCGAGTGGTGCCGTGGAGACCAGCGCCTGGATCAGGACCGTGACCTGGACTGGGACCCTGGTGTCGACCCTTCTCGCTCTGTGATGGAGGGCGCATCATGGAGAGCTTCCCTATTGATGGGACAGCCCGCACCAGCGGTAGCAAAGGTTGTGATGGTCCCAGCTCGGTGAGCACAATCAGGTCGCGAGCAGTGGAGAAAGTCTCCGGGGTGGAAGACAGGCCCAGCTCAACCACGGTGCGCACGGGGGGGCTTATGTGCACTGGACTCAACGGCGCTTGCGGCGCCGGAATCAACTGTGCTGGAGTTGGAGCCTTTGCTGGGCAGTCCGGCACGGGACGCTGCTCCAAGGGGGGCACAGGCGGTGCCGGCAACTGTACAAGAGCAGCAGGTTGTTTGTGCTGCTTCTTGGCTCCCGGAGACAGCGAGCGGTGCTGCACTGATAGTGGTGACGGAGATGTCCGGTGCTGGGAGTCTTTGCCGGTGCCGGGTCAATCCAGTGCCGGAGGCGCGCTTCGGACCGATGGCACCGGGTCTCGGCGTGGGGCTGAGGACATCGGGCTAAGTGCCGCTTCCATGAGGAGCTGCTTCAAACGAAAGTCCCACTCCTTTTTTGTCCGAGGCTTGAATGCCTTACAAATGCAGCACTTATCTGATTGATGGGATTCCCCCAGGCACTTCAGACATGAGTCGTGGGAGTCTCCCGTAGGCATTGGCTTGAGGCAGGCCGAGCAGGGTTTGAAACCCGGAGACCTAGGCATGAGCCCGGGTACTGGGAAGGAGGGAAGGGGAGAAGCCCCTTATCTCCAATTACTATATACACTAACTACAAAAACTACTATTAACTTCAACTAGCTAACAACTACACTATAACAACTGTCTACAGGTATAAACGAGCAAAGAGCTTGGGAAGTGGAGATCAGCTATGACGCGCTCCACAGTTCCAACGACTGTCGCGGGCGGTAAGAAGGAACTGAGGGGGCGCTGGGTCGGCAAGGGCATATATCCGGCGCCATAAGGGCACCACTCCAGGGGGCGCCTCAGCCGACCCACCGAGTGTTGCTAGGGTAAAAATCTTCCAACAATCGTGCACGCGGCACGCGCACACCTAATTAGAATCGATATGAGCAAGCACTCGAAGAACTCTCTGCTACAAGATGTGCCTTGGCCTAACGAGTTCAGGATAGCCACTATGAAGGAGATTTGTTGGTCTTGTACAAGTGTGGACGTATCCCAATTTATCAGGAGGGATAGCTCAGTGATTTGAGCATTGGTCTGCTAAACCCAGGGTTGTGAGCTCAATCCTTGAGGGGAGCCATTTGGGGATTTAGTTGGTCCTGCTTTGAGCAGGGGGTTGGACTAGATGACCTCCTGAGGTCCCTTCCAACCTTGATATTCTATGATCAAGAGACTTAAAAATTGAAACTGTATGTCCTTTATGTTGGACTTCTACATACAGGAATATCTTGATGCTTGAGACGCGTTGTGACCATTGTTAGGCCCTTGGTAAATACTGCTGATGTGGTAGAAAGGACAAAGGACAGCATCTTGATAATGGCTGTCCACACACACAAAAACAGAAGTATTTTCTGAAAGCCATTCTGATAACTATGTTAAAGTAGAAATCCTTTAAAATGGAGAGTCCTGCTCCAGTCTGGAGAGCATTGCATGGGAAGGGACTAAAGCCTTGCTGCCGGTGTCAATATGCTAGAGTTTAATTTTCTGAGTAAGCTGTTCAGTTTCCAGGGGACAAATGCAATCTCTTTGTCTAGAGAAGTCTGAAAATAGAGAAGGTACACTCTGTGGTGCAAGGACACCACATGGCAAATGAGCTATTTGACAGTTTACTTAAGAGGAATATCTAATTTACAAAGTGGATAATCAAGATTCATTCTTAAATTACATACATGCAGAAGTGAGGCCTTTTTTTCCAGAGACGTGTAAAAAAAGAGGAGCTTTACAGTAAGCTTATGAAATGTTTAAAAGACAAGTCTAGATTTACTGACTCATCAAAAACTTACCTTTCTAAAGGCTAATTCCAGTTTGTTTTAAGGTCATTTCTTAATTTCTTTCAAAGTTTGAACTGATAAGTATGTATGTGTATTATATTAATTATTGACTATTTTAGTTCCAGCTAATTAAACATGACTTCTCACAAAGATTTGGAGAAAATGAGCCAAAACCAGTTAGAAGATATGACTAATTAGTTAAACAAAAGTAGGATGGTAGTTCTGAACCCATCATGTGTTATCCAATTCTGTAAAGGAGATAGATGTAATTTTATTATATGTCTTCCAGAAGAAAACATGTATCAATGAGGGTTGAAGAGACAGTGAACAATGGAAAAATGTTTCAAACCTACGGATAATAAATAAAATACACTTCCTCTTCTTTAATTCAGATCAAGATATAGCCATTGTACATTCAGAACACCAAATTAAGGCAGTGGGCCAAATTCACTTCTGATTTACCCAGGTTTATGCTAACATAAACAAGTCTGCAGGGCCACCACATATGAAGTACCAAGAGGAAGTTGCAGCTGCAATCTCATCTCTGCCAGGTGACCACAGACAATCAATACAACCTCCAAAATGGCATCTTTGCCTAAAGGGAAGCATGGCTAGGACAGATACGAAACATGTTGACAAGGCTATTATGATGACTTCTCTTGGCAACAGCAAGAGTATATTATTCCACTGGGCATTTTACATGTGGAAAAGCTGCAGGTTTGGAATAGCCTTGAGTGAGGCAGTTTTATGGCAAATATTTGTGACTACATTTTTTTCTAGTTCACATTGACAGTAAATGCACATTGAGGTTTTTGTTTTCTAGGCTCGTTTTTAAAAATACAGCAAAAACAGAATAATTGGAAATAACTTAGAAACAGGTGGTTTTAAGTATCAGAGGGGTAGCCGTGTTAGTCTGAATCTGTAAAAAGCAACAGAGGGTCCTGTGGCACCTTTGAGACTAACAGAAGTACTGGGAGCATAAGCTTTCGTGGGTAAGAACCTCACTTCTTCAGATGCAAGGTGGTTTTAAGTTTGTTAAATCAGTAATTACTATTGTGCTTTTGAGGTTGCCTGCGACTAAGTGTATAGTGCCAAAAAAAAAAAAATTTTTAAGAAAAAAGTGGAATACTCTGTATGAAAGTTGTAAAACTGGTTACACTCCTTAATGTCTTTCTGCATGAGGCTATTACTATAAGTTTACATTCTCTGAAATATAAATTGCTATAGGGAACAGAAATGTGTTTTTAAATGCAACTGCATAGTCTTATCTTATCTGAATTTTACATCCATCAGAATCAAAAATAATTTTATTAGCTGACTTTCAAATGTCACATCCTTAATTTCTTAAAAGTGAACCCAAGATTCCAAACAGTTAACACAATGTTATTTGTAGCTATTATACCTAAACAAATATTCTATTATTGATTCAGATCATATAGCAATTTTCATTCACTTTAATAGTAAATATATGAAGTAAATTATTTTAGAATATTTAACATGCATACACATAAAATGTCAGCATTATAAAATGTAAATATATTATTCTACCTACCTTAATTGAGCTAGGGTAACGGCTAATATATTTCACAGCAACCCAACCTCTGGAATGGGGATCACCTAAGAATTCTACATGATTGCTTTTAACATATCCATCCAAGTCATATGTCACATATTGTCCATTAAGAGGATCAGGACAAAGTATGCCAGGCCAGCTTCAAAAAATAATTTGAGACACTTAGAAATGTATATTTTAAAACAACAAGCAATATCAATACCTCAGTTACCACCAAATATTTAAGTTTCTTCCTATCTGCAATACCTAAAGTGTCTAGCATACTTTAGTGCTCTATAAATAATAAATATAATAGTAACAATAGTTTTGTCACAAAGGTCAGAAAAACCCATACATGCCAATATCTGGTGATTCTAAAGACGGTTAATCAGGAAAAAAGCAACAGAGAGTCCTGTGGCACCTTTAAGGCTAACAGATGTATTGGAGCATAAGCTTTCATGGGTGAATGCCCACTTTATCGGATGCATGTAATGGAAATTTCCAGGGGCAGGTATAAACATGCAGGCAAGAATCAGTCTGGAGATAATGAGGTTAGTTCAATCAGGGAGGGTGAGGTCCTCTGCTAGCAGTTGAAGTGTGAACACCAAGGGAGGAGAAACTGCTTCTGTAGTTGGCTAGCCATTCACAGTCTTTGTTTAATCCTGATCTGATGGTGTCAAATTTGCAAATGAACTGAAGCTCAGCAGTTTCTCTTTGGAGTCTGGTCCTGAAGTTTTTTTTGCTGTAAGATGGCTACCTTTACATCTGCTATTGTGTGGCCAGGGAGGTTGAAGTGTTCTCCTACAGGTTTTTGTGTATTGCCATTCCTGATATCTGACTTGTGTCCATTTATCCTTTTACGTAGTGACCGTCCAGTTTGGCCAATGTACATAGCAGAGGGGCATTGCTGGCACATGCTGGCATATATAACATTGGTGGACGTGCAGGTGAATGAACCGGTGATGTTGTAGCTGATCTGGTTAGGTCCTGTGATGGTGTTGCTGGTGTAGATATGTGGGCAGAGTTGGCATCGAGGTTTGTTGCATGGATTGGTTCCTGAGTTAGAGTTGTTATGGTGCGGTGTGTGGTTGCTGGTGAGAATATGCTTAAGGTTGGCAGGTTGTCTGTGGGCGAGGACTGGCCTGCCTCCCAAGGCCTGTGAAAGAGAGGGATCATTGTCCAGGATGGGTTGTAGATCACTGATGATGCGTTGGAGAGGTTTAAGCTGAGGACTGTAGGTATACAAACACAACTCCACTGGCCATCACCTACAGTCCTCAGCTTAAACCTCTCCAATAGTAAATCTCCCTTCTTATCTGCCTGCAGTATCAGATTTCAAACTACAATTGTCCTGATGAATATTTGAATTTATTAGGTTCCTTCCCCATGCTATGGTTTTGAAAAAGCTTCTCATTAGCACTGAAAATCTACAGGCCGTGTTACATTGATTCATTACACATGCGGAAGTCTCACTTTTTTTCATTCAGGTAGAGATGACCTGATATTTGTTCAGTGTGACCAAAAAAAAAAAAAAAAAGTGGTACGGTACTTGTATTAAGAGACTGAGAAACACCCATCATAATAAGCACAGGAAACATGGCTGTGAACGAATTCTTTTTTATTCATCCCATTATAACCTCTTTATGTATATACAATTAAAGAAAAAAATGTTAAAAAGCAAGGAAAAAAAACAACAAAACTAAGAAATGGAAAGAACTCCTTCCTTTATCCACATTATGATGGACTACGAAGACCCCACCACAGAGTTGGCAGGAAGAGTGTTACTTCTACTTCAGGAAGGACAACAGCTTCTTGCAACAGTGCAATCAGACTCAAGAGAAAGGATTTCGACTTAGAGGCATGTGACTGGCTGTCAGGACTATATAAAGCAGTGCACTAGGCTCAGACTGGGGGAGGCCAGGGAAATAAGAAATGTATTGTGAAGGACAGCTGCTGGCTGTATAGCATCAGCCAAGGGTCTGGAATAGTCTTAGAAGAAATACGTGCGAACAAGAGGAATATAGTGTGAGACATGGGAAACCCGGATGCTGACCCTAGTATTACTGTAACAAAAACAACAAGGAGTCTGGTGGCACCTTAAAGACTAACAGATTTATTTGGGCATAAGCTTTCGTGAGTAAAAACCTCACTTACTGTGAAGCCCTGGGGAAGAGCCAATTAAACTTGGGAAGCCCAATACAAGGGTGAACAGTTGAACAGATTTTGACAACTCATAATCAGACCCCAGAAGTATACATTTTTATTTAGAACTATCATTTTGTGATATGTAGTTAACCCACAGGCGGAAGGGTAAACTGAGGCACAGATACACTGTGCCAAGGAAGGGTACAATGACCCTCTTACAACACACAAACACTCATCCCACCCAAGTACTATCCCTCAAGCAAAAGCACAATGGCCAGAATCTGCCACTTTTACTCCTAATACACTGCAAAGTTTTACTGAAATCAACCACACCACTTACAGAGTGAAGTACTACTTCATATGGGTGAAGGTAACTGACTCAAGCCTTAAGTAAAGAGATACCCTTTACATTATGCACTGAAGGTCAATGGACTTGGACTTCACTAGATCAACAGAGCAAGGAAATTCCAAAGCAAAAGACCCCTCCTGTGCAAACACTGTGGTTCACATTTAGGGGTTGTTAGTTAACGAACCTAAATGGATCTCAACTGTTGTGATAGTGCATAGATAAGTAGTCTCTGGGGTAGCCAGGACCCAAACAATATGAATATTTATAGATTTAAAAAAAAATCAACTCAAGCACATCAATAACTTAAGTACAAAATGTTGCATATCAGAATCATTTAAAAATTAACTACAAAGGATTTTTGAAAAACTGAACTTTTGCTCTTTTTTGCTTCATGATGCATAAAAGTCTAAAAAGATTTTCCTATTTTTTTTAAACCTTAGAAATATCAGAAATATCAATACTGGTCTTCTATGGCTTAGTGTAAAGAGTTGTTGGGGAAGGAGAGAGTCTCCAAAAAGTATATATGGTTGACATTCAATCTTTAAAAAAGGGTTCTATTCTCCAAAATATAAGTAATTGAAATGTTAAATGAGTAGTTAAAATGTTACATAGTCTAGGAACTTAAACTGCTCAGCTTTTTCTCTCTTGGCTTTTATGATGCTCGCACTTTACTATTTCTCCAAGATCCAAGTCTTCCAGGTCAGACAATACCCGAATTTCTAATAAAAAACCAAGCCAAATTTTAAAAAATTAAACAAATCAAAACTATACCTCACACCTTTTAAGCCTTTTTACACATCAAAAAAGCAATACAGCAAGATCCACATCACAAATGAAATATTTCAATCTCCTCACCAAAGAAAGAAAGACAGATACACATACTTCTAGCTTCAGTGGCCACTTGGGAATCCAGCAATGCCAAGCATCAACAACAGCTTGACATTGTGAATCTCACTAATAAAAGGCACACACTCCACTCCAGAGAGGCAGCTGCTATCATCTTCCCCACTTTCTCTGGGTAGTTCCATCTATACAGCAGCATGTCATCTTATCCGGATTGATCTTTACTAAGACTATCAAGTGATTTAAAAAATTGCGATTAATCGCACAATTAAAGAAATTGCGATTAATCGCACAATTAATCACACTGCTAAATAATAGAATACCATTTATTTAAAGATTTTGGATATTTTCTACATTTTCAAATATATTGATTTCTGTGACAACACAGAAGAGTACGGTACTCACTTTATATTTATTTTTTATTACAAATATTTGTGCTGTAAAAAAAGTATTTTTAGATTCACCTTATACAAGTACTGTAATGCAATCTCTTTATCATGAAAGTTGAACTTACACATTTAGAATTATGTACAAAAAATAACTCAAAAACAAAACAATGTAAAACTTAGAGCCTGAAAGTTCACTCAGACCTACTTCTTGTTCAGCCAGTCACTCAGACAAATACGTTGGTTTTTTTTGTTTTGTTTTGTTTTACATTTGGAGGGATAATGCTGCCCGCTTCTAGTTTACAATGTTACGTGAAAGTTAGAACAGGCGTTCACATGGCACTGTTGTAGCCGGCATCACAAGATATTTACATGCCAGATGCGCTAAAGATTCATATGTTCCTTCATGCTTCAACTATCATTCCAGAGGATGTGTCCATGCTGATGATGGGTTCTGCTCAATAACGATCCAAGGCAGTGTAGACCGACGCATGTTCACTTTCATCATCTGAGTCAGATGCCACCAGCAGAAGACTGATTTTCTTTTTTGATGGTTCAGGTTCTATAGTTTCCGCATTGGAGAGTTGCTCTTTTAAAGAGTTCTGAAAGCATGCTCCACACCTCGTCCCTCTCAGATTTTGGAAGGCACTTCAGATTCTTAAACTTTGGGGTGAGTGCTATAGCTAGCTTTAGAAAGCTCATGTTGGTATCTTCTTTGCATTTTGTTAAATCTGCAGTGAAAGTGTTTTTAAATTGAACAACATGTGCTGGGTCATCATCAGAGACTGCTATAACATGAAACATATGGCAGAATGGGGATAAAACAGAGAAGGTGACATACTAGTCTCCCCCCAAAGGGCTCAGTCAGAATTTAATTAACGCATTTTTTTAAACACGTGTCATCGGCATAGAAGTATGTCCTCTGGAATGGTGGCCGAAGCATGAAGGGACATATTTAGCATATCTGGCATGTTAATAACTTGCAATGCCAGCTACAAAAGTGCCATGCAAACGTCTGTTGTCATTTTCAGGTGACATTGTAAATAAGAAGCAGTCAGCATTATCTCCCGTAAATGTAAACAATCTTGTTTGTCTTAGCGATTGGCTGAACCAGAAGTAGGACTGAGCGGACTTGTAGGCTCTAAGTTTTACATTGTTTTGTTTTTGAGTGCAGTTATGTAACAAACAAAAAAAATCTACATTTGTTAGTTGCACTTTCATGATGAAGATTCCATTACGGTACTCATATGAGGTGAATTGAAAAATACTATTTTTTTATTTATCATTTTTACAGTGCAAATATTTATAATAAAAATAACATAAAATGAGCACTGTACACTTTGTATTCTGTGTTGTAATTGAAATAAATATATTTGAAAATGTAGAAAAACATCCAAAAATATTTAATCAATCTCAACTGGTATTTTATTATTTAAC